GTCTGCCAGTGGCAATTGTGCAGACACCCCAGAGGCAGTAGAACTGGGTCCCCATGGAGCCGCAGCCCACGACAGCCTGCCTCCTGCTTGGCCTGGCCGTGTGCTCTGCAGGGCGAGCGTGGCCCAGCGTCCTGACACCTCTCTCGGCGTGCCCCCAGCGGTGTGGCCCCAGCCTCCCCACACACGCTGTGGAAGGATCACGCACAGGAAGCAGATGCCATCGTGCCGGAGCTCCGCACACAGCAGCCTCACTGGCCGGATCTCACAGCAGCACCGTCCCTGTCACGTGGGACTTATGGTGCCACGAAGCCCCTTGAATGGAGCTATTATGAATGGGAAGCATGGCTGCTCACGGAGCCTCTCCCACCACGGGAAGGCGCCTCTGCCTTGCCCTCCCATCCACATTGCCAACCACCACACTTCACCTCACTGACAATGCATGCCCAACTGCATGTTTTAAAGGGATCTTTTTTTTTTCTTATTACAGCAGTAATAGCTGCCCAAAAAAGCAAAACAAAAATTAAAATAAAAACCACCTTTCCTTCCGTGATCAAGTTCCCCATAAATAGCTCAGCTCCCGCTGTTCCAGGGTCCTGCCCACCCGCCCTCGTGTGCTATTACAGTCTGACTTTCTGTGACGCAAGCATCCCTGCGTCACGTGCACTGCAGCCCACAAGCCGTGGAGGACCTTCACGCAGCCATCTGCGTGGCAAGCAGACCACGCTGTGGAGAGGGGCCCCAGGGTGGGGGTGGGGTGCGCTGTGTCACACATACACACACACACACACACACACACACACACACACACACCCGTGTTTCATCTAGCCGGGAAGCAATTGGCCTTTATCCCGCCCAGCACACCCTAATGAACCATTTTCTCCTCCGTGGCTTTGTGTGTTTGTTCCTTAGTTTTGTCCTGTTACTCCTAATTATGCTCCACAAATAACCCTAAAAATTCCAGGCGCCCTTTGTGTGCACACTCAGGCAGCATGCGGCTTTGTTCCAATTGTTCCTCGAAAGGTGCGGAGAGCGTTGCTCAGGGCTTTGTAGTCTTGGTCTTTCTTTTGGCAGAATTGGAGAATGACAGGTCTTTTCTTCGGCGTGGTCCTGCTCTCTGTAATTTTCCCCCATCAGATGCAGAGTTGAGAAATGAGACATTTGCATTATTGTGTGGAGGGATGAATTTCTGCCCCCAGAATCTTATTCAACTTATTTTGCAAATTGCGCTATAAAGCAGTCTAAAATACGCCAGGGGCACAGCAGAGCCTCCGGGGCTGGGCTCAGCGTGCAGCAGAGGCAGGCAGTCACACAGAGAGTGGTGGCTGTGGTGCCCAGCATGGACGCATGGCTGTGCTTGCTCAATTGGCATTAGTGGGCCCTGGGGATTTGGTGGAAGGCGTGTGGCTTCCCGGCCCACGCTGGCCCTGTGTTCTGATGCGGGGTGCTGGGGGCTCAGTGGCCCTGAGTTCATGCACCCTGGATGTCGCCGTGGAGGCTGCACCAGGCCATCAGCGATCAGCCTCTCCTAGTTCCTGGCGGAGAGTGCGGCCCCCGGATCAGGTCCTCTTCACCCTGCCTTGCTTGGCAGACAGTGTGCTGTGTGGATGTTCTGCAGCGTGGCCCATGCCGCCTATGACGGTTGAGAAGCGGAGCATTTACATGAGGAGGACTGTGGGAGAACCACTCTCCTCAAAGCCCCAGTCACTCTGACTGCCCTGGGAATGGAGATGGAGTCTCCTTGGTGAGTGGTCAGGAGTCGCACCAGGTGTACTGCGGCCCTGGGACCTGGCGTGGCGGGACAGCTCAGCACATCTGACCTGGTGGCTGCCAAGGGTGGAAGGAAAAGACCCAAGGTCACGACTCGCCACTGGAGGTCAGCTTCAGGGAAGCTATGAGTGTTTCAGACCCTGCTGGCCGAGGGGGGACAGCAGTTCTTGCCGGACCCAGGCACGTTGACCCACTTCACAGCTCATAAGGCTGAGGAAGCCATGTCACTTGGGGGCCCATCCAGCATCCCCACTATGAGTGGGAGAGCAGGGGCTCCAGCCAGCCACCCGGCCATGAGGTGCTGGCCCTGAGCCACAGTGTCACACTACTGCCTCGTGCGTATCCTGGGTCTGACCCGGGCCGTCCTTTTTCCCAGTGACGGTTTCACTGTGTGTTGGGGGATTGCTTTTGAAGATGCGAAGAGCGAGGCGCTACACGCATGGCCAGCGAGGGCAGTGGTGACTGCCAACACATCACCTCTTCATCTTGTCGGCCGTCTTTCTCCACGAGCTTGACACCAGTGGCATCTGTTTTCCTCCTGACACAGCAGAGGCCAGAGCCGGATGCCCTGGGCCAAGTGGGCCTCTCCCAAGCACCTCAGACCCTGGCAGTGAGGTCAGGTGGTGAGGTACCAACGGTGAGGTCAGACTGAGCAGAGCGCGCCCTCACCATCTGGAGCCGATTTCACACTCTGGCCACTCTTCGGCACCAAGGAGAAGGCACTGGGATGGGCAGAGGCCACAGTCATGCTCGGCTCCCTGTGGTGGCCCCGTGAGTGCCAGGTGTGCAGCATCATGGGAAGAGGCCCACACCTGCCTGGAGCTGGGCTGCCCACCTGGCCCACTGCAGGAGCTGTGCGGATCCCAAGAGACAACGTGGCTGGCAGGGACCTGGCTGTGCCCACCGCCAGCTCACTTGGCAATGGTTGGCTGCTGAGCCTTCATCTTGCAGCAGCAGCTGCTGGAGTCAGCGGGGACTCACAGCGGGAGCCCACAGGCGGCCACTGTCACACTCTGCCTGGCCTGGAACCATCTTCCCACAGGTGAAATAACAGGCCCAGAGCGGGTGGGCAGCTTGCCCAGACCACACGACCAGGACGCCAGGGCTAGGGTTCAGAGGCAGGTGTGCAGGCTGAGGGCTCCTTGTCATCATGGATGGCCTAAGCATCCAGTCTCAGGTGGCTTTGGGCAGTGCCACCCTCCCAGAGGCCATGTTCTGTGGCCATCTTGTCTACCATTCAGGCTGCTGAGCTCATGGGGAGGAGAGCAGGGCCTGAGGGGTGCCTGGGCCCTGCCTCAGCCCTACCTTCCCAGAGTGACAAAGACCTGGCACGGTGAGTGTAAGACCTGCCCCCCAGAAGATGCCCTTGAGCCTGTGGGGTAGCATCCCACATGGACACAGCCCCCGGAGTCTGCTGCTGGGGCTCCTCAACTAGGCTGTACATCTCCCCGCTAGTGCTGTGTGGGTCCTCGCTCTTGTGGGCACTTTCCTGGGGTCTTCCCCTCGGCTTCTCCTTTCCCTTTTAAAACCAACAAAAACCCATGTGGGTATGGCCAGATACCCCTTGCACAGGGACAGCACACCCAAATGAAGCCCCAGATCTGTGCAGCCTTGCGGCCTCTGAAGAGCGTGCAACCCAAGGGCTGCTGGGGAAACTGTAGTCAGTCCTCAGGGAGCTGTGCCCTGCGCCCCAAGGCTCCAGAGCCACTCCAGGCTGTGCCACCCACAGGGCCACAGGCCCACAGCCCCACGCACGGCAGTGTAAGGCACAGCCCCCGGCACCCCAGGCGGCCCGACACCCCTGAGATGACCTTGAGTCCGCCCGGCCCTGCTGTCTCTTTCTGGCTTAGTTTTTATGCTCCTGGGGCTCGTTGCACTGGTGCCACGTGGGCCGCTGGCTGGCTCTGGAGTTTCCTCTGCAGCAGGCACCGTGGCAAGCATTGGACTTCTGATCCTTGCAGCTGTGCTGAATCTAGCTCCAAAGTGAAGAGACCAGGCTTAGAGACCCAGTGACTCACCAAGTTCACCTACAGCATCCGTGGCAAGCAGATGCAGCGCTAGGCAGGGCTTCCCTCCCTACCGGGTTCACAGTGCCAGCTGTGGGTGTGACCACAGATGGACACACTGCTGCGCCCCTTCCACCCTCCATGGAGGAGTCCCAGACCGCTCACCTCGTCCTTCCTCCTTCCAGGGAGACCGCCTCGGCCCTCCTCCCTTGTGCAGGGGCTGCTCTGGGCCTTGGTCCAACTCACGCCTCTAGGTACAGTGCATGCAGCCACGGAGGTTGGGCAGCCCCACATCCCCATGTCCTCACCCTGTCCAGTTACTCTGTGGTACAGGTATGAGGCAGGTGAACCTGCTTGCACCTGGGTTGTATACAGAGTCAGAAGCATCAGAATTCTCTCACAGCTTTGGCACATGGGCATTAGCATCAGAATATAAGTTTTTTTTTAAATAAATTCTCTGTCAAAGGCTCTTATCACCCAGCAAGCATGGAAGCCGCAGCAGGAGGAGGCAGAGGTACGCCATGGCTTGCTCCTTCCTTTCCGCTCCCTTTGTCCCGCGCGGCCTTTCCATTTTAGGTCACTGTCCTTGTATCTGTAACGCTGTGATGATCCTTGCTCTGTGCCGGGGCTGGGGCTGGGCGGGCTGTGCCTGTCGGGCCCACAGGGCTGGGGCTGGCTGTCTCCCCACAGCCAGCTGAGCCTGCTCTCTGGTGGTCATCCTGGAGCCTTCCAGTGCTGCTTCCTCAGCCAGAGAGGCAGCAGCTTCCCGCCAACCCCCAAGGACACCGTCGGCAGCAGCAGGCGTGGCGCTGCCAGGCCCCGCATCTGAACAGGCTGCCCTCTGTTCCCCGCACACGGGAACTGCCTCACCCCATGGCTGGGGCTCTCCTGAGTAAGGGATCCCTAACTCAGCCTGCCCGTGCTGCGCAGGAGGCTGAAGCACAGCCTGAGGAGTGTGCACAAGTGTGGGTCCACACCTGTGTGTGTGTACCCCATGGGCAATTGTGCTCAGAGCCTGCCCTGTGTGGACAAGTCCACCTCATCCCTACTTGAGGTTGGGGACACCTGCGACGTGGTGCACAGGACCTGCTGCATCGAGACCACCCTGGGCCGCTCGGCGGCCTTCAGTGTGTTTGAACTGTGGTTCTTAGCAGGGTACAAAGGGGCCAGGCCTTGATCTGAGAGTCCTGGGGCTGCCTGCCCCTGATGCCTGTCACTGTCTTGCAGGAGCTGTGCCGCCAGCGCATGGCCGTGCGCCCGCCTGACCGACCTGAGGGTGCACACGCCTCCCGTATCAGCAGCGTCTCCTCCCAGTTCAGCGACGGCCCCATGCCCAGCCCCTCCGCACGGAGCAGCACTTCATCCTGGTCTGAGGAGCCCGTGCAGTCCAACATGGACATCTCCACTGGCCACATGATCCTGGTAAGGCCATACCTGCAGCACATGAAGTAATCTGTCTCACACTGACCCCTGTCCTCTGCTGTCCTGCTTCCCTGGGCAGCAGTGTCCCCTTTGAGATCCTGCAGCCACTGCCCTCATGGCTCCAGGAAAGTCGCTCACACCTGGCACATGCGGGCTGTCGGGTGCTCGCCGCTGCCTTGCTCTCAGCAGTGGGCAGGTGCTGATGAGCGCCTACTGTGTGCGCCACTCCCGCGGCCCCAACTGAGCCATGGCAGGTGCGTTCTTCGCCCTTAGCTCCCAGCCCACTGGGTAAATATGTCACACTGTGCGCTGTTGTTGAGGCAAGCTGGGGGAGCCCCAGGAGCCTCGGCGGGGCTCTTCCACAGGCACACCCCTCCCCAGCTGTCCACAGTGACTGCACACAGGGCAGTGGTGCTTGCTGCATGGTGGATGTGCAGGTTTTCCTGCGAGGCGTTCATCGCTCTACCCCCATCACGCCTTGTAGGCACCAGGAAAGCCAGGATGCTGTCTGGCATGGTGATGTTCTTGCTGGGTGGCACTCTCCACAGGCAAAGCCGGGCCCACATCCTCGCCCAGCTGCAGCAGCTGCTGTGAGTGCGGCTGGAGGTGCCCACAGCTGTGAGTGAGGCCAGGCCCCTGGAGGTGTTAGTACTCAGCACAAGTTTTGGGGACCATCTTCACCTAATTCCCTAATAGTGACACGGGCTGCTGCAGTTGGACCCTGAAAAGCCAAAAGTGCTTTTTTTTTTTTTACTAAAAAGTTCTGAGGGGGAGCTGGGAGGTGAAACCCAAAGCTGCTGGAGAAGCTCAGGCCTCATTGGCCAAGGCGCCCATGGACGGTCCAGCCCAGAGCCATCTGAGGGGACAGTAGAGGAGACCGAAGCACGTGGAGGTGGGCTCCAAGGTGATCCAAGGCAAGCGAAGGGGTAGAGAGGCCTCACTGCTCCCTGACAGCGGCCTGACCTTGCCCTGGCCATCATGCCACGTTGGACCCTGCCGTGGACCCCAGCACCTCCACGCCGCGGGGGAGACGCTGAATCAAGGGCTGAGGTGGCTCTGCGTTCATGTGGCAAGCTGTGTCCCTGTCACTCTGTGCCTGTGGTCGCTGCTGTGGACAGAACTGTCTCTTCATGAACAGCACTCACATTCCCCAGGTGGGACTTTTCAGAGATTTCGAGGGAGCCAAGCCTGGAAGGTGGCTCTCAGAGGGAATCTGCCGCGGCTGACCCTGCTGGTGAGCGCGTGCTGCCAGCGCCACAGACACCAAGCAGGGCTGGTGACATCTCGAGGGCACATGGAGCACGGGAGCACTGTGCTTTTCACAGGTAGATGGCTCCGATGGTGGTGTGTGCGACGGTAAATCTAGCAGAGCACATCAGTTAATTTCCAACTGAAATGCCCAAGCCATGAGGAAGACCTGTCTCAGCAGCCTAAGATGAGGTGCGCTGTTGGGAGCTCAGGTAGTTCCCTGAGACCCTGTCACAAGCACCCACCCAGATGCGCCATTGTCCCCAACCCTCAGTGTCAGCCCATGAGCTTTATCAGCGCTGGGGACTCCATCTGTGCAGATTGTGCACTCAGGGAGGCTGTCTTCCTTGCCCCTGGGGCTGTGTGTGAAAGAGACACAGCCAGGCACATTTCCCAGCTGCAGGACACAGGCAGGGTGTGTGGACGCCGCTGCAGCTGCGGCAGCTGGGTCGCACTGGGACTCTGCCCTTGCCTAACTTCCAGGTGGGCTCAGCCCACACAGATCTCCTCTGGGCGCTTCCTAGCACAGGGAACCCTGGTCTGTACCTCTCCTAACCCTAGCTCGTGCCTTCAGCAGGCAAGGCCGCCTGGCTCACCCTTTGGCTGTGGGGTGACCCTCTGTCCTCAGGGGAGGGCTGATAGCCATGGTGAGTGGACCAAAGTGACCCCAAGTGACCCCAGAGAAAACCTGTGCAGAGTGTGCTGGAGAGTCTGACCTCAGCTGCAAGAAGCTAATCCTGTGGAGATCATTCAGCCTGGCCCTGGGTAAGGATGGCCCACATTTATCAGACGGTGAACGACAGTTGGCCCAGCTTTGTGGCCTGGGCTCAGGGACTGTCAGATTATGGATTATGCAGTGTCCAGGTGAAGCTGAAGACCAAGTGTTCCGGACACTCGGCTGCACTGCGCTGCCCCCCAGAAGCAGCTGCGGACCACAGCAAGTTGATGCAGAGATCTGAAGAACAGCAGCAGCCTATTTATACCCGATGCACCGTGAGGGCAGGGCGCACCCCAGCGCTGGGAGGAGTGCCTGAGTTTCCGGGAACGCTGTTCTCCAGCCTCCGGGGAGTGCTGGCAGAGTCCTTCCTGGGACGCTGGGCCTCCAGGCTGGTCAGGCCATGGCAGGCAGGAAGACCCCTCCACCAAGGATGTCTGCATTCTGCCACACACTGGCTTCTGTGCTGGAAACCATGGAAACAGCTCTGGCAGAGCCCCCTCCCCCAGGGGGCAATGCTGAAGGAGCTAGGGTGGGGAGCCGCTCACGGAGAAGGGGTCTCCCTAGTGACACGGTGAGACTGCACAGGCTGTGGAGCACTGGGACCTCAGGGCATGGGGACAAGAGCATCCCAGGAGGAGGCCATGCACCCATCCCCCCGTCACGGCGTCCCTGTAGTAGAATAGGCCACGCATAATGAGGGCTGGGGAGGTGCAGGGCCTGCAGGCCATGAACCTGTCTGGTGCCTGGTAGTCGGCATGCCCCCCCCCCAGCCTGGCGCTCTGTGCTCACAAGGGACATAGAGCTGGCTCCAAGTTCCCATGAGCTTGCAGTTTGGGTCCCAGGACAGCTCTGCCACATTTTCTCCTCTGTGAACCAGGTTGGAAAGGTGGGCCTCTCTCAAACCTGGACTGCAGCTGCTGCCCACGGAGCCCTCAGCTCAGGGCTGGGCCCTGTGAGCGCCACCCATTCTGACTCTGACTGTAATTTTAGTTGTTGTCACGTTTGCCCTCCGTTGCCCCAGCAGTGCTCTTTAATCATCTGATGTTTGGGCCACCTGGCTTAGTTGTGCCTGTCAGTAACACCCGGTGAGGTGTTCCCATTCCCATAGTGCGCCCTGATCCAATCCGCCCCCCTCGCCACCCCACGCCCCGGCCTGTAGAAGCCGATGTTCCAAGTGCGGGGTCAGAGGGAACCAGCCTAGGTGTCGCCTTGCAGTGAGTGGATATGGAAGGCCTGTGCGTGCAAGCGTGTACCTGTGTGTGTGCACGTGCCTACACACATGCGCCGTGAGGCGGCTGGTAGTTGAGAAGAGCAGCGTGCCCTGTTGTGGCAGCAGAGGAGGGACAATGTGCCGAGAAGCGCGGCAAGCCAGGCGCAGACCCAGGCCTGCACGGCGCCCCTTCTGTCAGTGAGAGCGCCTTGCACAAAGCCCAACTTTCCTGGGTGCGGCTTGGGATGGGGCCCTATTCACAGGAAGCCATCCCTGCGAGGGCCACCAGCCCCAACAGGACCCTGGCCAGGAGGAGGGTCCGGCACCCAGTGCCATCGCAGAGAGGGCGTTGGCTCTGGGGGGAGCAACAACCCTTGCTCGCACCGGGACACGGGCTTCTGTCCAGGGACGCTCCCCGGCAGTGCCACATTTAGGAGCTCTGGGAAGCAAGCGACGTCACTAATGTCACTTTAGAGCTGTTATAAAAACTGTCACTGTATTGTACAGAAGCAAGGGATGTGCCTTTCTAAGAGATTCTACTGTGTCTTTTATAAGCAGTGTACTGTCTAAAAGTCATTCCAGTGTGGCTGTGCTCTCAGAACTTTTTTTTTTTTTTTTTTTTTTTTGTGGAACCAGGGATTGAACACAGGCCCTTGCACTTGCCAGGGAAGTGCTTATTCCGTTGAGCCATCTCCCCGGCCCCTAGCTGTGCTCTCAGGCCAGAGCTTCCATGCGTGGGGCTCCAAGGGGGGATGGCAACTGTCCTGCTTGCTAATTGCCTGTGAGTCATCACAGTGTCCCACTCGTGTCCCTCACAGCCAGCCCCAGCAGGGAGCCTCTGGAGAGGGAAATGTGGAAAACAAGCTGAGCTGGACACGGTGCGTGACTGTGTTGGGAGGGTGGGGCAGCAGGGTCGCCCGCCTAACTTGGGCAACTTAGTGAGCCCTGCCTCCAAATGATGAAAAGGGCTAGAGTGTGGCTCAGTGTTGTCTCTCCCTAGCAGGCAGAAGCCCTGGCTTCCATCTCCAGCACCACTGGTAAAAGAATGAAGTTCATTTAAAACCCTCTCCGTTAGACTCACAGAACTGAATTCAGAAAAATGGTGCAGAGCGAACTTCTCAGGGAGATGCCAGCCTTGGTGTCTAGTGGGTGGCCTCTGCCTTCCCTTCCCTCTCAGCATGTGGCACAGTGATGTCACACAGCAGACACCACCCCAAGAAGCCATGCCACAGGAGCCATGGCCAGGCTATGCCAGATGCCCACAGGCCCAGAGCATTGGCAGGAAACACACAGAGAGACGCTGCCGGCACAGACAACGGAGGGCAGAGGGAGACCGGGAGCCGGTGTGGGGCTCAGGCCCTCCGGGTCACCACAGAGAACCCCCTGGCTGGTGTGAGGCACCGCGGGGAGATGGAGCCCAGGGTGGCAGCATGCTCCTCCCCTGAAAGTTGAGTCCCTGAGGCCTTGGGCTCTTCGTCCCCTCCAACACAGTGCCCGCTGGCTGTGCCCGTTTGCCCCGTACAGCAGCACGGGCTTGCTGCTCACAGGAAGGCATCTGGAAACTCAGAGTCCCTTGCGGAGCCCCAGCAGGCCCCACCACCCCACTTCCTCGGTCCAGGCATTCCTAGGGCAGCCAGAAGGTTCCCATCCTGTCAGCGGTGGTCGTGGATACAGAGCCCTGGGTCCTCTCTGCAGCGAGATACCTTCCTCCCTCGCCTTCCTCCAGCCCTGTGGAGCAGGCCAGCGCCTCAGCTCCTTGGCGCCCCCTTTCCCAGTGCATGCTGGGAGCCCCGGCTTCCCACAGCCAGATGTAGACAGTGGTAT